TTGATTCATTATTCACTTACCCCCCCTCCCCCCCCCCCCCCCCCAACCCCACACTCAATATTTGCTTACTATACAAACTTTGCTTCATAAATATATTTATCCCTTAAACACAAACACACAAACAAACTTCATCTTGTACATAAAATCGGAGAAGATGTACAAGAAATCATTACACCGGAGGCACGATTCCAGCGAGCTCAACGTGTTCGAGGCTGCACGATATTTCTCCGGAAGCACCAATGAAATTCCAAGTGCAACTTTCGCACATAAGATCATCGGAGAAGACAGGCAGTCTGCAGTGAAAACTGCTCGAAGAATGAGTCTAGACGTGCCCCCGACGATGATGTTAAGACACTCACTTCCTTTGCAAATGGAAAAGAAAATGAAAGAGAAAAAACATAAAAAGCCAAGTTCTCCCGGTGGCAAACTTGCCCATTTCTTGAATTCTCTTTTCAATCAAACATCTTCCAAGAAGAAGAAATCTAAATCTTCAACACAGTCTGTGAAGGAAAGTGAAGAGGAAAGCCCTGGTTGCAGAAGGAAAAGAAGAAGCAGCATTAGTTTTTTCCACACAATTACAAATACTGCTGATTCTAAGTCCATATATTCATCTTCAAGTTCTGGCTTTCGAACACCTCCACCTGCACCATATGCACGTAATCCCACAAAAAGGCACACAGATTATGCTTTTTCCAACGAAAAACTCAGATTCAGCAATGGAATATTTGAGAAGAACAAGATTTCTAATCTGGGATATTCAAACAGGAGTAGAAAAAACTGGTCTGATCGTCAGTTTTCATCAGAAGAGAGAGAATTTAGAAAGATCAATGATTTTGATGATGGTGCAGATAGTGATTCAAGCTCTGATCTGTTTGATTTACCAAATCTCGATTTAGATTACTACTCAAGTGGGCTACCTGTTTACGAAACAACACATATGAACAGCATCAAGAGAGGTGCACCAATTTCCGGTGGCGCAATTTAATTTATTACTCCCATCAATAGTGAAACATTTGCTTTATTCGTACCAATGCTTGGAATTGAGAGAAAACTTGTTGATTTTTTTCAAGATCAGTTTATAGATTCTGCTTTTTCTTCTTTTAAAATTTCTTGTAACTTTTTTTTCCTGTACGTACAGTTTAGATTGTTTGTCTGCCTCAACTTTTTCTGTCCTTGCTCTTGAAGATTTCGGTTATGTATCTTTCAACCAATTGATTTGTACTAAAAAGATTGAGCTTTGATTAGAAGATTTGATTATGGATCAGCGTACGTATCCATTGGAGTGAAGTACAAGGCTCCCCTCAAGAAATCGAGAATCCGTGAAGACCTAAGTTTTCGATCAGATGTATAATTTAACACAAAAGCTAATATTTTGTTACAATAACTAACAATGCCATATTTGCTTATAAATATGATATTGACTACTGAATTTCTATAGTTTATTATTAAGTAAGAAAAACTTATGTTAGTCACACAATTTAAAAGAAAATTTCATTTTAGTCATGAAAATTTATTCGGTTCTAAAATTGTCATTGAAGCACATTATGGTGGAATTGGTAGAAAGCTTGTCCACTACATTATTTGGATGAGTGATATTTTTAGTTTCTCTTTAAAAAAAACCACATATCATCGTAACATTATTTCCCGCGAATTTTACCAAATACTAATCAAAGACCTACGTGTTTTCTTTTTAAAATAAAAAATGCATTCCTTAAAGGATCTTCTTCTTCCAATGGCAATATTTTCATCACAACATTTCCAGATCTCAATTAATAGTTTCTTGGAAACACAAGTAGATTCAGATGACTTAAGATCTGATACCAAGAATCATTAAATCATCCAATTATTCCTTCTGTTTCACAAGAATCCTTTACTTCAGGCTCGAGAAAAAAAGGTTATACAAGTTAATAACTTGTGTTTGTGACAATTTGTAAGATATATATGCTTGTGACAAGTACAATAAGTCATAAAAAAATATGTGATTTTGAAAATGGATTTATATATCCATTTGAGCATCTACAAAGACCTAGCTAGGCTCGAGCATTGGCATTATTGTGTTCACTTCCAGTGGAGTTTACTTTACAATCAGAAACTCTATGGTTTCACGCCATATATAAATCTCTCTCAAATCCTATCACAGATGCATAGATTGTATAAGAAACCAACATCGACTTAACTCTCAATCTTACACACCAAATGCATTTTCTAACACTTTCAAGAAAAAGAAGGTTCAAAATGTCAAACCCTAAAAAACTAGTGAGCAGAAGAAGAATATGAACGAAGAGTAAGAGCTTGAGTAAATTCAAGGTCACTCCAACAAGTCCAATTGATCGTATTGGAGAAGCATGTAGAACTTCAAATCCAACGTATTAGAATTACGGCGTGACCCAAATTCTATTTGGAAGACTAGTTGGTAATTCTATTTGAATACTACTTGAGAATTCTAGTTGACATCTATTTGTGAATTCTAGTTGGAATTCAATTTGGGAGTTATATTGAGAGTTTGGAATTTGTTTTTGACTTGAAGAAGTCATGAAAGAATCCAAGTTGCAATTGGAGATGAACAAATTGTGCAAAGAGAAGGAAGAATCGGGACTAGAGCTCGCTACGCACTCAGCACCGCTTGAGCACTTAGAACAGGGATGCCAGTGCTTACTAGCCCCGAGGAGGCCACTCGAGTGGCCGGCCACCGCTTGACCTCCGCGATACCGCTACTCGAGTGTCGGTCTTATCCAATTTTTTATTAGCTTGCTATTTTTGTCAATTTTTTGAATCATATTTTATCCCAAACACTTCATTATTATATAGACTTAGTTATGGTCAAATTTCACCACATTTTAGGCTCTTCTTGCACTATATATATGAGTAAAGGTCTAGAAAAATCAAATCCTAACATTCTACACAATAATTTGTAATTCTCCATTATTGATATTAATAAATTTCACTCTTTTCCCTGTGGTATACTTTTACCACATAAATCTTATATTCTTGTTTGATCTATTTTTTATATAGCCATATTATCATACTCGTTTAAATCATAACACAATGGCTGCAAAGAATCCACATATCATGCATCCAAGTGAGGCACGCGCCTTTCCAATTACAGAAATGTGCTCGGTCAGTAGCTCTTTTATTAAATACACATCCTCAGCTTTGTTATTTGTATCACATTAATCACAACGGCTCCAACTTGCTGCAAATCACAAAATGCTTAAGTGCTCTTAAGCCCACATCTTTTGCTCCATCGCTCATCAATCAGCATTGAAAATAACGACCTTCGTTCCAATTAACACCTAAAGGGGGTGAATAGGTATTTTATACGGAATTTAAATTTATCAATTAATAAAAGCAACAAGTCAAAATTATTAATTATATCAATATGAATTCACGTGCAATACTATCATAAGTTGAATTACCGTGATTCATATATCGTAGAAAAGTAAATAACACCACAAAATTGATGACAGAGAAAGCCCCTTGCAGGATCAAAAACTTTGCGCTCAAGCCAGCAGTTACCACCATAAACAATATAGACTTACAAATTGTGCAGACTCAACTAAATCTTAGTACTTTCTGACCACCTATCCACAACACCAAGGAACTCCTTGGACTCAAAAAAATGATCAAAAATGCAAAATGACATTATGCACATTCCATAAGTATAATTAAACAAAATGGAATACCCCTTCACTGCCTTCAATACACGCTCCTCCTTAGAAAGAGTTCACCTTCAAGCAGACTATGGCACCTCATCCTTGATTAGAGCAGGAGTAGGTCCTTCATGTTTCATAGACAACAAAAAATTGCTCATCTTTGTTTAAACAAAACATTACATGACCACACCTGCCAAAGATACCACAATATAAACAAGTACTCCACTTTAGCTTCGTTCTTCTCCAACTGGAACTCCGATCACCTTCCTGAATCTTCAGAACTCTAACACATTATACAGAAGTAAGTGTTTTAGTGTTTAGATTATCTGGGCTTTAATGTTTAAAATTGTTTGGTTGAATCAAGAAAATTGATAGAATTAATGTAGGATGTTTTCGTTGTGTTCTCTCTTTTATAAGAATGATCAACTCACGACCAACTCGGACTAGGGTTTGGGTATTTATAGTTTAGAGAGTTTGGGGTTGTATAGGATTAGAAAACAATTTAAAATCGCAAACTAGAATTTTGTTGCATAAGACCGTCGCTCGAGCACCAACCAGGTGCCAGGCAAGAGCCAGTGGTTCTGCTCATTTTTGCTCCATGCCGCTCGAGCGCTAACCAGCGGCAATCTAGCAGCATTGTGGCTATTTTTTCTCCATGTTCCATCTTTGATCTCTTGGACTTCTTGTTGACCTATGCTTCTACCCAAATAATTTCTAGCCTTTTACAACTTATCAATTACTTCAATTTTGTCAAGAATAGCCAATTAATTACAAAACTTACAAAATCCCCCTTTGACATTCTGTGACAAAAATAAGTATGACAATATCAAAGTATGAACAATAAAAACTCCTAACTACCCAAAGCCCCCAACTGATTCAACTGTGACTTGCTTTCCTTCTAAATGTATTTCCTGAAATTAACAACTCAAATACCAAGTTTAAAATTGCGTGAAACGGTTAAGGGAAAAATCATCAATATAAAACAGTTGAGTCATTGATATGATCTAAGGTGCCATCGAGACGAGAGCAAGTTCGGGGAAGGATCCATTACTAGTGGAAAAAGGATCGATGACTCGATCGAGGGCAAAGTAGGTGAAAGAAGCAATGACATTGCTAGTGGAAGGACATATGACTCGATTGAGGGCAAAGCAGGTGAAAGAAGTGATGGCATTACTTGTTCAAGCTACGGTTCACGATATCGCAATCGTGACGAAGATTGGAGCAAGTTTCATGTTGGGGTCGAGGCCGGAATCGGGATGGGTGAGCTTGATTCAAGTAGCTGAACCTAGAAAATAGGGGGTAGTGGCACCCCTACGCCCAAC